GGTGATGCGACGCCGGAACTCTATGAGGTTACTACATTAAACGAATGAAAAAACGATATTTTAACCGACTTAAGGAAGAAGATTCTCATTTCATCTGTACACTGTTTTGCCATTAATTTTGGTAACAATGTAACTTAAAAAAAATTGTTTCGGATAATGTTGTTATGCACCTGTTGGCTAACTTATCGGTTTTAGGTATACTTGTTTTCTATTTTCTTATGTATTTAATTACCTGTCTTGTATACTTATATATGTAAATAAATAAGTTAGCAATGATAGCAATTACACTAGTGGGTGGCCTTGGTGTGGTTGATTTTAAGATGTCAACAAGATAGAAATTGCTTGTTTGGTTGCATAAATAGATTTCTTTTAACATTGTCACTGTTGAAATTAATGGTTGGTATCCATTGTAAGGTGATGATGGACCGAGAAGCGATGATGAACCTCGTAGCTCAATCGTCTGACAATCACTTGCGGTTCATCGACGCTCGCGANGACCTGCTGATGACGCGCGCCAACAACTGGCGAGACCATCTTGTGTCCGGGACTAATGAGTAAGTTGACAATACGTCACTTTAGAAGATTCTAGAATAAAGGAAAGGAATTTTGTCTGTTATAAGTATTTGTCCGTTTCAAGATCTTACTATCGTTTGTTAATTTAAAAAAAAGCTTTCATAGGCCAGTCTGGAAGAACACATCTTTCAGATTTTGTTCTATATTTATGTCAAACTAGCTTACGCCTGCGACTCCGACCGCGTGGTGTTAACAAAAACAAAAATGAGTAGTATGTGTTCTTCCACACTATCCCATTTATACTAAACCAAATTTCATTGAAATCCGTTTAGCCGTTTAGGCTACAAAGTCTAACAAACATCCATCCATCCATGCATCTAAACTTCCGCATTTATAACATTAGTTAGATTTCATCAAGATCCATTGACTTGTTCCGGAGATATTCCAACAAACATCCATCCATCAATTCGCATTTATATTAGTTTAATAAGATTTTTAGGATATCTACTATATTTTTTTTTACTACACAGTGACAAAAAGGACTTGATTATTGTTACTTGTAACCTCAGGGAAATAATTGTATTTTGTTTATAGCAATGAAATAAAAAGGAACAGAGATAGAATACTGGAGATTAATTACTTTATTG